CACGATAGTGTTGAATCGATAGCTAATAGTAGATAACGACGTCGTCTCATTCATCAATAGTCTGATACCTTTCGTCTCTTCCTCATTACAACTGTCCAACACAACGAAAATAAACATAAGTGAATTCGCGTCACAATCATAACAGTACTCGTAGTGCTGCTCAACAAGGCTTCTTTCATTATTGGTGCTATGCCATCCCCAAGGGAGGCCTCCGTACCATTAATGTGTCTACACCATTTTAAAATACTATTTCGCCTTTGACAAATTCCATCGGGCGGGCCATCCCAAGACATACCCTATAGTCAGTTCCGCAGGAGCACGTGATAGGAAGATCAATTTCGTCTGTACGACCAAGTAACCTCAGATTCGACGAATTGTGGGGATCATTAGCTTGGGGCAGGTATGCCATTCGAGTACTGGTGTTCAATATAAGCCAGAGTTTTGGGCAGTAATATAATACACCTCGTTGAATTACCGGAGCTACTTCGGTCAGGACATTGGTCTCGAACTCATGCTTCTTGAAAATCGACTGAACCGAGGTAAACATTGGAATGGCATAGCTGCCCCTCTGAGGAAGTCGAGCTCGCTGATGCTGAGTCAAGCCTTCAGAGGGTGTAGCATTAACATCATCGAGGGGGATTCAGTTTCATATTGCAATTGAAAATGTACTCTCTACTTCATCGCGTCATTTCTCTCATTGGAATATTGAGGTTTTATCGTCTTGGCTGTGTGAACGGTTACAAAGATAGTCTTGTATAATCGGAGACTGATTCGAATGCATCGGACTTCAGTGACTAACTCGAGTAAACTGGATCTCAGTGATTCTCACGATATATAGATATATGATGATATCAGACCTCGTTGTGACCTTTTAAAGGATTTGCCTCCGTTAATTGGGAGCCCTCGAGAGACAATCGACTTCGACATTGAGCGAAGCAGAGAATGATATCACTCCGTGAGGAGTCTCCACCAAGGATCCTAGAGAAATTCTTTGAGTGGATCGTATTTCTGGCTGCTAGCTTGTAGCCTCTCCCAAACGAGCTCGCTTGGTTTCTTCCATGACGAATGAGTTATGAGCCCGTTGTACTTGTTCCTCAACAACCATGAGCTCTCGCATCCTAACCTTCCCACCGTAGGCTACGGTCCGTAGCATTCTCGGCTGATGCGGGGGAGCTTCATCTACAAGCGTGATGGTCCCGATTCTCTCACGATGACCTTCAACACCACTAGGGATGGCCTTAGGCAGTTCACTATCCAGTGTAGTCATCGATACCAAGATGATTGGCTCCAGCTCCGCGAAGATGATGAGTACCATGGTATCCTCCACGAGTTCCCTGAGTCTGGCCCTTGTGCCTATCGTGGTAATCTCGAGTTCGCGATGCGATGCGATGTGAAAGCCGAACGACTCTATTGACGCAACTCTTTCGATCAATACTCATTCACTCGTTATCAAGATCGCATGCGATACCGCGGGTTAGTCAAAATGCGGTTCATTAAACACTTCAAAGCTTCATTCCAAAATGTCTTCACACACTCGGGCTGGAAGTAGCCTGAGAATCGGCCACCTCAGCCGTTGTCGCTGAGGCTTCGGTGGTGACATCAACGTTGGTGGTGGCACTGATAGTAGTGACTGGGAAGTCAGCTGTAGTCGCGAGATCAGTGGCGACGTCGTCTGTTGTAGTAGCAGCGAATGTGGTGGATGAGGCCTCTCCAGTAACATCCGGCGATGTGGTTACTTCCAGGGGAGCTGCTGTGCTGGTCGTTTGTGCAACAGTGGTAGGCTCGACAGGAGCGTCGGTAGTAACATCAGCCGCATCGGCTGTAGTTACCATTCCGGTAGTGTCAACAGCAACAGAAGTGGCCGTATTGGTTTCTTCGGGAGCGGCTGTTGTGCCGTCCTGGATTGTGGTGGTCTCAGTGACTTCATCGGTGGCTTCACTTGGAGTAGTGGTAACTGCAGCAGCCTCGCAAGTGCATGGCGCATTGGATGAATGGCAGGTGCTTGGTGTAGCCC